CACTCCAGGAGCCACGGCCGAAAAAGACCAGGAGAAGGGAAAAGGGAAGGAGAAGGGCAAAGCCACAGCCGAGAAAGGCCAGGAAAAGGGAGGAAGAGGACAAGAGAAGGGCAAAGCTGCCGGCGACAAAGGGCAGGAAAAGGGAAAGGGAAAAGGAAAGGAGGAAGGCGACGCTCCAGGAACCACGGCCGAGAAGGGCCGGGAGAAGGGAAAAGGAAAAGGAAAGGAAGGCGGCACTCCAGGAACCACGGCCGAGAAGGGCCGGGAGAAGGGAAAAGGCAAGGAAAAGGGCAAAGCTTCAGCCGAGAAGGGCCAGGACAAAGGCAAAGGAAAAGGAAAGGAGGAAGGCGACACTCCAGGAGCCACGGCCGAAAAAGACCAGGAGAAGGGAAAAGGGAAAGAGAAGGGCAAAGCCACAACCGAGAAAGGCCAGGAGAAAGGCAAAGGAAAGGGACAGGACAAGGGCACTCCGGGCAAAGCTGCCGTCGAGAAGGGCAAGGAAAAGGGAAAAGAAGAAGGAAAGGGCAAAACAAAGAGCACTGCACGAACACCTGCCCAGAAGGGGGGAGGCGAGAAGATGGGCTTGTGCACAAAAGAGGGCTTCGAAGCTCTGTTCGGTGTGCCTGCGAAAGGCCAGCAAGAAAGCCCGCAGAAAGCTGTGGGAGGCCGGGGGGCTCATGTCTTGGCATGCATATATCGTATACATGTATACACACGCACACACATGCATGTGATATATTGTATATACACATGACATGCATGCTGCTTCGTGAGGTTAATAAAATTGTGCCTCTTGGGCTGGTCGTATAATATTGCAACTAAGGTGGCCGAGGCTCGAATGAAGGACAGGCTGTCCTCAATCAGCAGAAGAGATCCTGGGGCGAGGCTGGTGGAAAGAGCGAATCCAAAGGCCCCTCTCGAGGGTCTGGGTCCTTGGTTTCGGAAACCTTAAACCCCTATAATTTATAAGCCCTAGACTCAGACCATTCTCATGCTGGGTCGTTTTTTCAACTTCCGATCTTGGTCTTTCTCAAGACCTGTCTGTTTCTGTGTCCATCAGGCAAAACAGTGGATCCCCAGCAGGAGGCGGAGTCCAAGAGGTCGCTTGGCTGAAATCTTCAAAAGTCGTTGCTGCTGCCCGCAACACATGCACTTAAGGCCACGCCGCACCGACACCGCTGACTCATGGGGGACTGAAGCATCGGACTTGGAGCCATCACCGGCCGATTCGAGCACTCCCAGAAAGAAGGGTTTCGTCTTCAAGGGCAACCCGAATGATGTTATTTGGCTCAATTGAATTCCATTCCTGGCCTTATTTGCACCTTTGCTTATAATCCCCAGACCCTAGGCCCCACGAACCGCTGGAGGCTCGGAGTCTGTCGGAGCAGGAGATCAAGGAGATCGAGGTGGCTTGCTTCCATCCATATTATTATAGTAACCTCGCAGTTTAGTTCAAGGCTCCTCGCACGACTTGGTGACTCTAAGGCTTTGGAACGACCCGAGGATATCGATCTGGTTGAACGGAAGCGGCTCAACGAGGGCCTCCGACGCCGCATGAAGAATGCACAAGGTTCGCTTTCATGCTTAGGGGGTTATAGGGGTTTAGGGTTTAGGAATACTTCTACTTCGATCTGCTATATATACGAGGACTACGCAAAGGATTGGTTGAGCAGTGGCAGTCGGCGGTGTCCCCGCAGGACAAGTGCCCAGGCATCACACTAAACCCTAAACCCCTTAAAGCCTCAAAAAATCTTAAAACCTTAAAACCCAATCCTGAACCCAGGTTTGCCTTCCTCAAGGCATATCTGTTAGATCGCGATATGACGGCCATCGAGATCCAACCGTACTTCGAAGAGCCGCTGGTCCAAACACCCTTAAACCCGAAACCCCTAACCCTCGCTGCAGCTCATCCAAGGCTCTCGGAGCAAAAGAACACAGAAAGGTTTATCGAACTCCCACTATGCGAGATCAAGGAGAAGTACCTTCACCTCCCAGGAGGGGAGAAGTTTGTGGAGGACCTGCAAAAAAGTGCTCGCCCGAGATTCCGGAGCTGACTTGTTCCTTTTCGGTTTGGGGTTTAGGGCTTTAGGGTTAGGGTTTTCTAAATAGATCCCATGCAGGCCAGAAGGGCAAGGAGCACCCCCAGACTACGGACCCCAATTGGAGAATCTACAAGATCTTTAAGTGCATCGACAACCTGAGACGCCAGACTGCATTCTAGTGCTGTTTGCTTGCCTGTGCACATCGATCTGATACGTCTGCACCTATAAAAGAATGCCGCCGAGATTCCCAGATCAACCGCAGCGGCAGCCGCACCAGTGCGAGTATCACGCCGTCGCAGAACGGCAAAGAACGCCAGGCCCTGGCGGAGACACTTGAAATGAAGGTGAATGCTATGTCCAAGCCCGCCGTAACCGGCGGCGACGGGCCCAAGCCCAAGGTGAAACCAAAGCCGAAGAAGGCCAGGGAGGGGAGAGAACGAGAGATAAAGCTAGTGTGTGTGTGTGTGACCATGATCTTAGTGCGACTCTACATATCTCTACATCACAGTTTAAACCCTATATATAAACTCTAAACCACGAACCCTAAACCCCAAACCCACGCCGCACCGTATAACCCTACAACCTAAACCCCAATCCAGACTGTGGCCTGCATGTAGCCAAGCCTACACACACCAAAGCCCTGGCCCTGAAACGCTTCTAACCACTTAGAACCCCATATACCCTAAACTCTCCCTACCAAAACGGTGCCTGTTGAGGAGCTGACGGCCGACGAGAAGATGAACAAAGACTTTCAACGTGATCATATGGGGTTCCGAAGCTACATATATTCGCTTGCTTGTTGCCACGCAGCATGCAAACCCAACTCAGGGTACGGGCCCTTTCGGATAAAGCTGTTCTGCTGGCCACCTCGATTACGTCTTATGGCATCAAAAACCAGGAGGCAGGGATCAGATCTTGTTGGGTCATGTCTGCAGGCCTCACATTCATTCCACCTAAACCCAAAAGTTAACCCTCTGATGTCCCAATCCAACGTGTGCTTGCCTGATCGACAGAAAATGGTGCAGAACCTCGGTGAGATCTCGACGGATTGCATCGGCATCTTCAACGAGATGCTCGGAGTGGCATTATCTACTTTAATCTGCGACCAGTCGCTGCTGCATGCATGCATCATCGACCGAGTCATGTTCGAGTATATGCATCAACCCGAGGCTTCAGAAAATGGTTTTCGCCTGCACGCCTACGGAGGAATGTGTTGCTGCCCTGGATGAGCACAAGCCGGCACTGGAGGCTTCCGTGTGCATGTCTCATATAAAAAACCACAACGACACCTAAACCCTAAGCCCCTATAAGCCCTAGAATAGTAACCCTAAGCCCAAGACCATCATGTTTCCACATCCCTGCAGGCAAAGGGCAAAATCATCACAGATGCAGAAGACATCGTCGACTCCCACAAGCGACGCACTTTGGCCTCAAATGTATATGGTTGGCATGTACATGATCGATGTGCACATGGTTCATCTCTCCCTCTGCAGGCCTTGCTGCAGAGAAACGCAAGCGAGAGAAGGAAGAAAAAAAGAAATTGGGAGAAGGAGACGAGCACGATGATGATGCATTCGACGATGACGAGCCTGGAGATGGCACGCAGCCGCAAGAGGAGTGGCCAGAAGACGAGGAGCCACCTGCAAAGCGGGTGAAGTGAGCTCATGGCTTTAATTTTCCTGGGGTCTGCAGGATCGGAGTGTGTGTGGCCGGTGTGCATGCAGCAGGCATCTTAGACTCTGCTAGTCGGCTGCACGCATAGCTTAGCCCGATGCATAAAACCACTCCAGACTTCCGGGGACACTGAGCACTCGAGACCCTGCCCCATGCATACACGCATGGCTTCTGTGTTCCTGCTGCGAATACTCGTGATGAGTCCGCAAGAAAAGATTGGAGTCGTGAGCAGTCGCTGCCTGCAGACCCATGTGACCATGTGTATGAAGTCGTCCCAGTGCATCAGTGCTGTGCCGCCTCAGCTTGCAACTCAGCTGGCCCAGCTGTTGTGTCATCATGGACAACCGTAGAAGCCCAAACCCTATTATAAGCTGTAAACCCTAAATTGAACCCCGTGAGCGCCGAAACCCATGAACCCGAGCCCCGAAGCCTCATCATAAGCACGAGCCCAGTCCCGAGTGTGGGTTCTTAAACCAACATAAACCCTGAACCCCACACCCAGACCCTAGCTGTTTCAGACCCTAAACATATAGAGACTTTGGTGATGTCCGCTTCTTCGAATGATGCTGGCGATTACATGCGAAACTATGTGCAAGAGACCTGCGACCAAGTCTTGAAACATCTTTCCAATGGACAGGTGCATGGTTTGTGCACGATCAATGTCACGACTACATGACAGAAACAATAAGATCCCTCCAAACCCTGAAGGTTCCGTTGGCGGATGTGGCGACATCGTTGCAAAGTGTGTACCGGCTCCCTCATGCCCTGGTGCCGCACCTCGTCCATTAATGTTATGAATGTACTTGGGCCTCGATTCACCCGCCGAGGCCAGACTTGCTGGAGCTGGCCACTTCATTTCGTGGGGAAATTAATTCCTGGGGGCAGATGCGACTCTTGGAACGATGGATACACAAGCAGCCTTGGAGGAAGGCATTGCCGATGACATTTACGAGCCCAAGCTGCACTGCTCCGTCCAAATCGTACAAAGCCAGAAATCCTCCGAACACACGAACCAAGGTTCCCCCTCACAGCCTGCTACCAGGATGCTCGTGGGGCTAGAACTACCCGGGAGGTCACCCACCACATGTTTCTTCCTCACGAGATTTTCGCTTCGCTGCATGATGCTGGTCATGCGGATTTGCTCTACGAGAGCACTCAGCATGCTGCTAGCCTGGATCGCAGAAATACAAGCTACGCCCCAAATCCTAACACACCAACTCAAGCCTGAAACCCTAAGCCCACTGTGTCTCGATTTCAAACGCTTGGCATTCCGTGCAATCCAAGGTTCGGGATTACTGGGCAGATCAAGATCAGCAGTGGTGCCGGGATCATCCGATCCTGAGTAATGTTCCTCAGCTGCATCGAGGTATACGTGCCGTGTCTTGGTGCTATTGTTAAAGACATGGCGAAGTTCAGGCATCCGACTGGGGAGACTGTGTTCCGCTACGCCTCTATGGCGATGGGGCAGAGTTCACCAGCAGCCCATTTGCAAACAAGTTTTGCGACATGCTGTGATATCCAACAGCTTTGCCTTCATTCTGTCCAAACCAAGAAAAGCAGAAATTCGAGATGTTCTGCTTGATCTCACCGCTTAGTAGATCGTCCACGATGGATGGCAGATTCTTGCGACTGGACTGCATATAATTCCAATCGGTGTCGAGGCGAAGTTTATAACCATGATCCTGCATCCGAGGTTATCATGCTTGAACATGATGTATCACAGCGATGAATCAAGATGGGCTATTCTAGAAGTTTTGTCCTGGTCTATGGAATCGCTAGCAAGCGGCCGGTATCCCTCAACCGATGCTTGGGGACGATTGTTCAGCAACGAGTACGAACCCCTCCGGTGGAAGGTCGCAGGGCGCCCATTAGCAGGCGGAAAGTGCGGAATCCTTGACGGCTTCCAGGCCGACCTTGAATTCATCAAGAAAATTGTTTTCTTGAAGCGAACCTCAGCTTCATTATATTTTCGCTAAACCCTAGATATATAGCCCTATAAATCTATACCGAACCCTAAACCGACCCAATAACTTGCCGCCGATTTGAGGCGATTATTCCCGACAACAATGCTGCTTTTTATGCGAGGCGGATTGCATGCACACTTGTATGAAGTTGAAGTAGCAATATCTGTGCGAACCCGAGATCCCGAGAGGCACTTCAATGGACTTACGTCAACGACGACCATGGGGCTGCAAATGATCCAAACTTGCTGTTCGTTAACTTCGGAGGGCAGGCTGCACACCGACAGACGCTGCTGAAGGACGCCGACGAGTTTCGCCGAATCCACGGGGCGAGCCCGCTGACGCAGATCACGGGCTTCTGCCCATGGCGAAGCTCACAAATCTGTTATCAGATTTTGTTCAATATTTGTTTTTTGGTTTGGGGTTTAGGGTCTTGGGTTTTCCAGCTAGAGTTATGACTCTTTGGAGCCCGGAACCTTGAGACTATACACCTTGAGGCTTATAAGCCCGATGTTCAGGATGTTTTTGTTCTAGATTCTAGATTAAGGAATTTGGCCGGACATTATGCACTTGCTGCACCTGGCAATGTACCCCGACATTTTGGGAAGCTTGCTCTGCGATCTTAGCGATGGGCCGCAGCGAGAATCTGAGCTATCATCACTCTTCGAGTCCTACCGAAGCTGGTGCGAAGACGCAGGCTCGAGCTGGAGTCTAGTACCTTAAATAAGGTACCCTGTGCCCTAAACCCTATATCGAACTGTATGGAGCTTAAGTCGACAGGTGTGGTGGACAGGAGTACTTGAACATATCGCAAAAGCATCTCTCGGCAGCAGCAGCACGCTATGCCATATTTTGGTTGGGTCAGCTTATGGCATACTTGTTGGAACAGCACCCCGGTGATCCCTTCTACGAGATCCTTGGCCAAATTTTAAACCCAAGCCCCAAACCTTAAACTTAACCCCTGAACCCTAAACCCTATACCCTAAACCCTAACCCCAAACCCTAGATACCAAACCCGAGTTTAAATCTCGCTCCCAAGGATTCGGGCAGGTGTATGTATGTCCCTCGCCACTCTTGAGACAATCATGCTGAAAAGTGGGAGAAAGCTTTCCGGTGATGCAGTTCAGACTATGAGAACGGCCTATATGGTTTTTCGAGCGGGCTATGCCCGCCTCAACGGAGAAGCATTACAGGCAGGATTGTGCCGGTGGCCGGTGCGACCGAAAAATCACATGGTCGAGCACGCTATCTTCGATACGCTTCCTCTTAACTTGCGACATATGCACAACTATCTCAACGAAGATTTTGTGAGGCGGTGCAAAGGCATCGCCTCCAAGTGCCAACCGGCAAATCTTGCGAAACACGCATGCATGAAGTATGCATTGCAGGCTTGCCTTCGGTGGCGATAAAAAATCCCTCGGAGCGATTGCACCGGAGAGCTTTGTGCCGCTGTCGCAGTCTCCCGCTCTCTCTCTCTGCCTCTCTCTCACTCTCTGCCTCTCTCTCTTGCTCTTGCCCTCTGGGGTGTGTGTGTGTGTGTGTGTGTGTGTGTGTGTGGTGGTGGTGGTGGTGGTGGTGTGTGAACATATAAATATATATATGTACATATACATATATATCTATATATATATACACATGCATATACATACAAACACACACATATAACAAACACATGATACAAAATCTACAGACCAAGCCGCGACCACACACCAGAGCACAAACGATGACGACAATGACGACGACAACGACGACCACGACTGCGAACTTCGACTACGACCACGACGACCACAACAACATTTTTTAGCAGGAAACATATAGGGCAACACAGAACTACAACAAGGTTGCTGTAGGCACGACAACTTTTGATCCACGTTTACACCGAAAACTGTGAATTTTCACTCCACTCAACAAAATTCTGCGCCAGATCAGCAGCTCCATCGCAATTTCCGGAGCATGTTGTATACGTGACGGCAAAGTTCCAGGACGTGCATGTTCTGCGATATTTTTCATCGATCCAATATCGAGAAGTGAAAAACCAAGATTTAACCATCGAATAAGCTAATCGATGGTTCTTTTGTTAAGTGATGCTTGCTATGATGTCGAACAGCCCGGGCTGGGAAGAGAAAGGCTAGGTAGCTTCCAAAGCCACCTCCGCCGGCTAGTCTCTTCCTACGGGCTCGATATAGATATATGCTGTGTGGATCTGGCGAGGAGTCCGCCCATCGACCTGGCTACTTCCAAGGAGAGGGCGAAGTACCTCCACAAAGTTCAATCGGGCCATTACGACATCGTGGCTATTTCTCCCCCTGTGGCGACGTTCTCTAGGGCGAGCTCGGCCAACCGTAAAGGTCCCCGGCCAGTCCGAAGCTTTGACGAGCCCAGAGGATTGGCTACACTCACGGCCAAGGAGAGAGACCGGGCTATTCTTGGCAACATTTTTGCTGATTTTTCTTTTGAAATAGCTAGTGCTGCGGTTTCCTCGGCTACCTTCTTCGTCCTGGAGCAGCCAGAAGACCTGGGGGCTATGCCGGCTGGCCCCCACAAAGGCCGGCGACCGGCCAGCATGTGGCAATGGGAGGCTCATGCACGGCTAGTTGGCCTCGGGCTACGTTCGGTGGCCCTGCACCTGGATAACTTCGGGGCACCCTCGGCGAAACCGACACGACTGCTACTCAAGTCGCCTCTGGAAATGCCGGCTACCGTGCACGAGGGCCTCCCCGCTTTCGACAATGATGGCTACTATCTGGGCCCCTTGCCGAAGGCGGCACTTCCTCGACGCCGCAAAGCCCCATGCTGGCTAAGGAGACGCTTGGCGAGTGGCCCTCGAACTTCTGCCGCTGGCTAGCACAGTTGGCCCTGGCAACCTGCACGGCTACTGCTCCGACTGCCTCCGGAGAGGGGGTACCGACTGTGCAGGATAAGGTGAATTCCGGCGACCTCGACTATGTTACAAACCAACCAGAGGGCCCACGGCTACATGGTGGCACGGGACCCCCCCGCCGATGCCATCAAAACGACGGGATAAAGGAGTTCCACGACGGTGGCGGGCTATGCTCTCCTGGGCGCTGGCCCCGACACTCTCGTGGACATGCCGCGGGCGAGTCCTGGGACTGGCTGAGGGCTAAGATCCGGGAGATGGTAACCAAGCGAGTGGGATCCGAGAGCGAGCTGGAGAAGGAGGCCTTCCGAATGGCTATGGGAGGCGAGTCGGCCTGCAAGCTCGTCCGGGATAGCCAACTACACGAGGAGCTATTGCAACTCCTGCAAGTTTGGATAGAAGGTCAGGACCTCAGCGAACCAGGCCTACTGGATATTCCTCCTGGGCAGCCCCTTCGTCTACGGCTACTTCGTGCGATCCTCGAGGCGGCAGGCGACCCGGATAGGGACTTCCTCCGTCGGGCCGAGGAGGGACTCCCACTTGGGATATTGGAGGGGCTACCCAGAACACCGCACGTGTTCGAGGAGCAATCCTCCTGGAGGCTAGACAACGCCCCTTGGGAGCCGGCGCTAGCATGGGTCCCGAATTATTCCTCGGTTAGCGACCACAGGGATTTTGTGCGGGCTAAGTTCGACGAGGACGTCGAGGAAGGCCTCATGGAGAGGATGACCCTCGGCGAGTTCAAGGCGAGGTTCGGCGAGAACCGGGCTATCGCCTCCCTGGCCGTGATAGTCGAGGACGAGGAGAAGGACAAGAAGCGGATAATCCACGACGCGACCCACGGCGTCCGGGTGAACCACCGGATACGCTGCCGGGATAAGATCCGGGCGCCAGGGGCTAGAGAAAAGAAGCAAATCCTCCGAGAGCTGATACGCTGTGGCGAGATTGCCTTTTCGGTCGTGGGGGATATCTCGAAGGCCCATCGGAGATACAAACACCAGGCTAGCGAGCACGGCTTCATGGGCTGCCAGATAGACACCGAGGAGACGATCCCCGGGGACCCGGATAGCCAGATCGTCTACGTCAACAAAGTGGGCACGTTCGGACTCTCGCCGGCTAGCTACTGGTGGACCCGGATAGCCGCATGTGGGCTACGGGCAACCCATCATCTGTTGGGCCCCGGCTATCCCATCGACCTCCTTCTATATGCCGATGACCTCGAGGCCCTGGGGATAGGAACGGAGGGGAGGAAGGGTATCCCGTTGAGCTACCTTTTCCTCTCTGTTCTGGGATATCCTTTCAAATGGGCGAAGACTCGTGGTGGCTATAGGGTGGAGTGGCTGGGAATGGAGACGGAGTACTCCTCCTACAGGCTAGGGATGTCCAAGAAGCGGGCGTCCTGGCTATCGGCTTGGCTAAACGACAAGGTGACCTTCGGCAAAGTCACGGCCAAGGAGATGCAGCAGGGGCTAGGTCGGCTAGGCTTCGCTGCGATAGCCTTAGATTGGCAGAGGCCCTTCTTGGGGCCGCTCCACGCGTGGAGCGCAGCCATTCAAGGGAAGTCCGGCTACCTCATCATCCCGACGATGCTCCGGGTGCTGATGCGGTGGCTAGCCGACAAGCTTGACCAGGGAGAGAGGCTACAACGTCCCGTGACTCTCTACGCCGGGCTACCTCCACTGAGCTTTTTCACGGATGCTAAAGCTGAGTCCGATAGGGCCTGGATAGGTGGCTTCCTGGAGATTTCCGGAGGGAAGCCAGGTCCCTGGTTTTCCTTAGAAGTGGATAGGGCCTGGGCTCCGTGGGCCTTTGCCAAAGGCGACCCCAAGAAAGTGATAGCTGCGCTAGAACTGCTAGCGACCCTCGTGGGGATACGTCTCTGGGTCCCCGAGGGCGAGGATAGGAAGACCTCGCGAGTGGCCATCCGCGGCTATACGGATAACAAGTCCAATGAGGCACTGTGCTCAGGATGTGCCGAGGCAGGACAGCCGCAGGATGCGCCAACACATTGCAACTTTGAGAGTGGGTGTGTTTTCGAATGCCAGACTGTTTCGACTTCTTGCAAAGGGTCCAGTTTTGACACCATTAACGACTTCAGCAACGGGCTGCTGACTAGGGCTACTTGTTGTATTGATGG